CCGCGCAGGGTCCGCAGCACCCCCGGGCCCCGTCGCAGCCGCAGCGCCCGCACCTCAGCCATGGCAGCCCCGGGCACGCGCCGCACCGTCCCCATAGCAACGGCGGACGGGCGGGGCGGGGTCACGTGACGCGCTCTCCCGCGGGCGGGAATAACGCGGTTTTCAGCAGCTGCACGACGGAGATCCCGTGTCCCATGGCAGAGCGCGCCCGCTCCGCCGCCCTTACACTGGTGCCGAGCCCCAGGAAGTCCAGGGGGAGGGGAGGGGGTGGTTCTGGGCCATATGCAAGCCTGGGGGGGATGTGGATGCCTTGAGTCTAGGGGCCTGCATCGCTCCAGGTCCAAAAAGAGAGGACCCTTGTTAGGGGACACCTCACCCCAGCCCAACCGACAGCCCGATCCCTGCTGCTCCCTCTCACTTCCCAACCCGCAGCCCCCCACCTATGCTGGTGCCACACAATCCCAGCCTGCAGCCCCCTGGCACTCAGTGCCCACACTCCTGACCCACAGCCCTGCCTCCTCATCCTGACTGGGATGCAGTGCAACAGCTTCAGTTCGTGGGGGCAGCAGCGGAGCAACTCCATCCCTGGCGCAGGCTGGAAAGGAGCATGCCTGTGGCACCCCTGCCTTGGACTGGGGCTTCAGTGCCACACCAGGCAGCATGCACACACCCACCCTCCCCTAGGCAGCATCTCCTGGGGCCACCTGGCCCTGGCAAGCAGAGGCACCTGCCCTGCCGTGGAGCTCCCCACTGCCTTCAGAGGGCCCCTTTCCCCACTGAAGGACGGGCACCTTCCCTGCCCTGCTGCAGCCCCAGCACCCAGACAGCTTCCCCCAGTGCCACCACCCTTACCTCCTATTGCTCTCCCCTATTCACACCCGCAGAGCAGAGCAAAATCCCAGACAGTATTTCAAAAAACTGCCCCACCAGAGATCGGAGGACTCAAAAAGAGGACGTGTCCAGGAAAGCCCGGCCATACGGTAACCACTGGCAACATGTGCAACCCCTAAGCGTAGCAGTGCACTCCCCTACGAAAAGGCTGCAGACGGTCGCCACTCACCACCGACACTGCCGGCAGCATCTGCAGGCTGTCAGGAATCACTGCTGGCTGCCACTGACACTGCTGGCACCCCTGGCCGGCACTATAGTTTCATAGTTTCTAGGGTCGGAAGGGACCTGAGAAGATCATCTAGTCTGACCCCCTGCCACGGCAGGAAAGAGTACTGGGGTCAAACGACCCCAGCAAGGCGTTCATCTAACCTCCTCTTAAAAACTCCCAGGGTAGGAGCCTGCACCACTTCTCTTGGAAGTTGGTTCCAGACCCTAGCCGCCCTGACTGTGAAATAGAGCCTCCTGATGTCTAACCTAAACCTACCCTCTGCCAGCTTGTGACCGTTATTCCTGGTCACTCCTGGTGGTGCTTGGGGGAACAGTGTCTCCCCCAGTGCCTACTGATCCCCCCTGACTAGTTTATAACAGGCCACAAGATCCCCCCTCAGCCTTCTCTTTTGGAGGCTGAACAGGTTCAGGTCCCGTAGCCTCTCCTCATAGGGCCTGCCCTGCTGTCTCCTAATCATGCGAGTGGCCCTCCTCTGGACCCTCTCCATGCTTTCCACATCCCTCTTGAAGTGCAGCACTCAGAACTGGACACAGTACTCCAACTGCGGCCTGACCAGGGTCGCATAGAGGGGGAGGATCACCTCTTTTGACCTGCTTGAAATGCATCTGTGGCTTCATGACAAGGTGCGGTTGGCTTTCCTGACTGCATCCCCACACTGCCGACCCATGTTCATCTTGGAGTCAATGATGACTCCAAGATCCTTTTCTGCCTCCGTGCTGACAAGAGGGGAGTTCCTTAACCTGTAGGTATGGTGCTGGTTGTTCCTCCCCAGGTGCATCACCTTGCACTTGTCTGTGTTGAAACCCATCCTATTCTCATCCGCCCACCCTTGTAGCCTGTTGCTTCCTTCTAGTGTGCCCATGTCCCCCCACATCTTAGTGTCATCAGCAAATTTGAACTAGCCACCCCCCACTGACAATACTGGCAGCATCTGCAGGAGCTCCCAGCTTACCACCGCCACTCTCCCACCATTGCCATGCCCCCCCAGTCACCAGGGGCACACGCCATTCATGATGGTAATCCTACTCAGGTCCCTTCCTCAGAGCTAAGCACCAGATGTCCTACACCAGCACAGCCTCATCAGTCTGGAAAGTGGCACTGGCACCACACTCTTCTGGCAGCTCCACAGGACACTGTCACCCCAGAGCAGCCACCAGGTTTGGGGCATCCTACTGGCCTAGTGTCATTTTCAGTCTGGCTTCTGTAGCGACCAAGCTGGTTAGTCTCCTGTCTAGCTGCTTTCAGTGCCCCAGGCCACCTCATTGGATGCACTTTGCAGTTGGGTTGAGTAGGGGCAAGTTTTAACAGGAGCGTGAAGTCTTGCCTCTGGGCACCTTAACTCCCCTGTAGTCACACCCCTCCTAGCTATGTGTGTCTAAGGTTTTGGTTCTTCTTCCTTGTAGCCCCTCTCCCAAAGATGGACACAACAGTCACAGCCAACTATTAATATATCCAAGCAAGAAGCAGGGTGCCAAAGGGCACTGAAACACCTGTGGCAAGCTGACTGTTTGGATTTCATTAATGCTCTGGTTGCTCTTCATTTTTCAGAATCATCCCTTGTAATAAGACACCAATGTGTCCCACTGACTATTCCACTCACCTCCCCTTCAAATAAAATGCATTTTTGCCCAGAAACCAATTTTTAATCATGTATGCACCCCTACTCTTATTAATCTGATTTCCAAAAAACAGGTTGTGTGTGACTTTGTTGAAGTCCAAAAGCTTTACTGAAATTCACATAGATGTCAGTCATTTCAATCACTACTGTAATTTTATCAAAAGCAAAAGGTCTGTCCAGAAGGAAACGTAAATAATTGCTTAAGGGTCTAAGCATAATGATTTGAAGAGCTGAAATGTTTAAATTGGCTAATATGGCTACAAAAGGACATGATAACTTTCTACCAGTATCTGAAGACTGGGACATCAACATACAAACATATTCAGATGGTTTAAGGGATGTAGCTAAAATAAGATCAAATGAATGTGTAAAATGAAACAGGACAGTTTTTTTTTCCATAGTAGCTCTTATGGAAGTGTCAAGAGACATGGTTATCTTTTAATTTTCACTGTAAATTGAAGGATAAAGTCAAACAGGAAAGTGCTGTGAGCAAGCTGGAGTGACTAATTTAGCAGTGAAGGTGAATAGAGACTGGGTATTGGAGTGGGGTGGGGGAGAGAGTGACAGAAGGTAGCAGGGAAGAAGGGGAGGGAGAAAAAGAGCAGCTCTCCTTAGGGAGTAGCAACAGCTGGAGCTGAAGTAGCATCAGGAACGGACCCTCCAGTAATAAGACAGTCTGGATCAGGCAGAAGTAAGGAAATCAACATACCACTCTTAACCCTTGGATTGGATCAGACCTTTGCTGGCTGGATCCAGGCTCTTCACAGGCTGGACCCAACCCACAGGACATAGGTTGCTGACCTCTGTGATAGGCTGTTCTGTGTGGCTGCACAGGACAGGATTAGTAAATCTTAAAGTTGCAAATGAAAATTTGGCTGGATTAAGAAAAAACCTTCCTAAGTAAAAGGGTGGGTAAGCACTGGAACATACTAGCTAGAAAGGCTGAGGAATCTCCATCATTGGATTTTTTTTAGGAGCTGGTTAAACAAACACTTGGCTGGGATAGTTTAGAAAGGGATGGTCCTACCTTGTTCAGGGGAGGGGCTGGACTAAATGACCCACTGAGTTCCCTTCCAGTAATATTTTCTTATGATTCTACACTTCACTGAGGGAAAGTGCAACAACACATCCAAGGAGGACTCTACTGAAAAAGCTTATGAAAGTGCAATTGATGCAACTCTACTAAAAACTGTTGTAAAAATAAAAGAAAAATATACTGTTGTGTCTCTATTTTTTTAACATTAGAGCTTTGTTTTTTAATAGTGGTTGTTGGAGAAGAGAAGTTGTAGGACCATGAAGACTTGAAAATCAAAGTTTATCAGTTGCAGGGGAAACAGGAAGTAGTGAGTTAAAGAATGCTGAAGCAGATGATTTACTTCAGGACAAACTGTTAAGTGGAAGTTGTGTGTCTGCATTAAACATTTTCCCCCTAATTTGTCAAAAACTCAAATAACTGAAAGGAAAAGTTTCTACCAATTTATTAGTTTTGGCAAGTTCCATACAATATGAGCAAATGCCCTTTGCTCACTTTAAACATTATTTTGCTCTATACAAGTTGTAAACATTTTAAATTGGACAAACGATTGGTACAGCCATTCCCAAATTTAGATATCATTTCCACCCACATCTCCCTTTTAGAATAAAAGCTGATTAACTAAAGATTTTTCACCAGCTACCTACAACAATATGAATTGCCTCTGACATCAATTTTAAAACTATATATTGTTGACCTACTGTGGTAGAACTCTATGTCATTTAGCTTTGCAAAACAGAAGGCTGAGTCCTGTGACCAAGACAAAAGCAACTGGGTTCATCCACTTGTTAAAATAAATACAGACCTGGTATACTTTTTGTTTGGTTAATGCTTGATTTACCAGGCAACCTGTATGCTGTGAAACACAAAATCAAATATTATTTGTGTATTAAAAAAATGCCTTAAAAACAGCTTTCCTGAAAGTCCTCATCCACATCTTTTCCAGCAAGATCACAAAGTTATTTCATTAAACAAAGACCTTGGAACAAAAATGAGAGAAGCAAGTTTTCCTTTTTTGGTTTCTTTAACATTATAAAGTATCAAATGTTAACCTAATTATTTTTCTTCTAGCATGTAACTGGCTGAAAATACTGCATTTCAGACTGCAAAATGGATAAAAAGGTGGCAGTGCAATTGCTAATTTTCACCCATTTGCAGTCTTCTACAGCCATGAATAGTAGTTCTCCTCCTATAAGATTATTTATGGAAATGAGTATAAAATATTTAAGGAATCAGCCAGCTGCAGAAGAAAAAGCAAAATTCTTAAACCTTGATTACAAGACTAAGATGAAAGCCTCTTAAAGTAAACATTTGGTTTGTGATCCTTTGAATCAGACCAGCCTAAGATTTTTAGTACTACTGGATTCGTTTGCATTTTTTACCTGGCTAAAAGGTATTAGGAAGGTCCTCATCATTATAATGTTTCAGTTCAGTCTGGATGGGACTATTAAAATAGCATCACTTCTTGCTCTAGAATATTAATGTTAAAGTCTTTTTACATGCCTTGATAAAAATCTCATGATCATCAAAAAGTACTTAAAATTATTTAATGTGAGCTTGTGACTCTTCAGAAGAAATGCACAGAAGTAAGAACAAGCAGGCTATCCACATGTACTATTGATCTTTTCACTGTGGCAGGAAGTGCTGTGTAAACCAAGCATATAATATACAAGTTACTCTGATGAATGCCAGAACTTTAAATAAGATTTTCTAAAACATAATTTCATCAATATATTGAGGTACTCTTTATAAATAGCTATTTCTCATTAGGTATCTAATACTTGTGTGCCTTCCTTAAAAAAAAAATATTCCAGGTAGTTTCATATTCTAATCTGTTTGGGAACTATCCAGAACCCAAAGTTGCAATATACAATCATTACCCTTGTAGACTTGTGACCTCTGTATGTTAGCTACCATTTTCTGTAGCAGTGTCCGTTAGCAGTTTTACAGAATTATAATGTTCTCCTAATCCATAGGCATGTCTCATATACCTGAAAAACAAAAAAGGTGTTTTAAAACATTATCCTTCTTTCAACTATACAGTATATAAATTAACAAGTCCACTTTTTACTGAAAGGTAAATTTCAAGAAATTTGAAAGTTCAAGATAGCATGGAAAAAAAAATATACAAACACACTCAGCCAGCCACCCTGGAAACCGTGCGCGAAGCTTGATGTTATTTATATGTCAGATTTTGTATAAAATAGTACATTGAACCCACTTACAACTGTGTGGAAAATCAACTTTTGACTAAACAATGAAGCCTAACCAAAAATGGCCTATTGACCAAAAATGGCCATGCAACAGTTTTCCATTATAACTTACTGACAATCATTTTATGATTATCTACAAGACAAATTATACTGTAACACTCTAAAAGTATGGTCCATACACCCAGATCAGTCACAAGGATTGGGGAATTTCAAACATGCAGCGGTGCTTTTCAGTACTCCAAACCCCTTTTTGAGCTGCAACATCATGAAAAAAATGGTGCAGTTACACAAATAATTAATCTCACTTTCTGTGGAAAAAAAGCCCAAAGATTGTTAAAAAAAAAGTAGGAGTAAAAATATCTACTTACACAAGTATTATTGGTTTGCCTGAATATTCTTCACCAACAATAATGGGAGGAGAATCCATCTGCACTACCTCAATTGGCGTTTGTAGAATGTGCGATAAAGCACGCAGCTTTTAAGATAGGAAAACAATGCACAGAAAAATAGAATCAGATCTCATGGAAAAAATCTTAGCTCTCAAAAAGTCATATTATCTGGTTATTTTAGGCCAGAATTTAGAGGTTTATTAGAAACTAGGTTTTAGTAAAACCTAAGTAAGTTCTTCCAGTTAAGCAGAACTTTTTTTTTTTAATTGTCTGAATTAACCACTACTTTGCATTGTTGAAAGAAATGTAGCAGTGTGCTAGCATACAATCAGAGAGAAACTTGTCTATTTCTAATACCACAGGTAAATGAACTACAAAACTTTCAGATTAAATTACAAAATTTAAATCACATTTTGACACAGCATTGGCTGCTGCAAGACTGGGGAGATGTAACAAGGATGTACTGAATATCTTATGACTGGGAGGTTTCAAGGAGTTGAGGGTATTTGCAGTCAGTCTTAAACACTCAATATCTCCTTAATCAAGGCAGATGCCTACGCAACTTGGAAATGAAAAGGCAGTCAAATGATATGGAACTGAAAAGGACTGAAATGGTAATGCATTTATATGCAAGAGAAAGGACTATCTAGCTGTGCATCCGTATGTCAGCTTGTAATTGGATGATTCAAAGAAGAGTGTATGTATAAAAATGTGTGTTCTTGGGAGCACTTTGAATTTTGTATCCTGACATTCATCCTTTGTCAGTTGGCCAGACCAGCCGAATGACAGCTAATAAAGGCTATTTGGCTTCTATTTGGTTTTTATTATCTGACAAACCTGCAGCAGTTGGAATGGGAGAAAAGCCTCTGGAGGTTAAAACACTTAATACCTTGCTGGACTTGGACTCAAGTCATTGGCAAGAGCTTAAAAACAATTTTATTTACCTACAAAAGTGCTCCATTAGGTATACAGAAGTTTCTCTTTCACATAAGTGAAGTGGGAACAATTCTACAGTTGATTTATAAAATCTATTAATTGTCATTTCAGTTTCATCAGCAAAAAGATCACCCTTCCAGCTGAAAGATACTCACTTCCAGCTGACCGCCCCAAGCAGCTGTATTTGCTATGTCATCACAGTACTTCGCAAACTCCTCTGCAGGAAAAAAAACCCAAGCTCAGTAAACCTGTCAGTAAAACTCTTACCCAGATGTTGTTGGTGGACAAATAGTGATAGGATATATTTAGGAAAAAATGCATTGATTAAAAGGAACAGGACACAGTACAAGGGAAAATATTCGAGGCAGTATAAAAATAGACTTAAAAACAAAAAGCAGGCAAGGAATTAAAATAATGATTAAGTTACATGTTCTAGTACAAGCTAGAAAAAAATTAATAGAGGTAGACAAAGATGACATAAAAATGCATGCAAACTGTACGCTAAACCCTTAGCAAATGTGCAGATGACACGATGTTGGGCAGCGTTCTACCTGGTCTGGAAAATAATAGCTAGGATTCAGAATGACCTGCACAAATTGGAGAAATGCTCCAAAATCAACTAGATGAAATTCACCAAGGACAAATATGAAGTCCTGTATTTGGAACAGGAAAAAAAAAAAAAAAAATCACGTGCACAAATACAAGCTGGGGTATGATCAGCTTGGCTACAATACTGCAGAAATGAGTATAGGAGGGTTACAGTAGGCCATTAGCTGAAGTATGAATATGAGCCAAGTGTGACCTTGCTACAAGAAAAGGTCAATAGCATATTAGGTTATATTAACAGAAGCGCCAATTGAAAAGTTGAGAAAAGTGATTCTTCCACTCTAATCTGCACTGATAAGGCCTCAGCTAGAGTAGAGTACTGTGGCCAGTTTAAGGCCCCTCACATCAAAAAAAAGTAGTGGACAAAATTAGAGTTCACCGGAAAGTGACAAAAATAAGAGGTCTGTGAAACATTACTTACAAGGAAAAACTAAAAGAACTAAGATAATTTAGGCTGGAAGAGGGAAGACTGATTTGGTATCAGTCTTCATATACTTGAAGGATGATTATAAAGACAATGGAGATAGACTATTCTCTGTGGCTGTAAAGGGCAGGACTAGGAGCAAGCCACAAAATACAGTACAGGATATTTAGGTTGAATATTAAGGATTTTCTGACTATAAGGGTGATTAAACATTGGAACAAGATACCCAAGAGAGGCTGCAAAATCTCCAGCCTTGGAAATTTTCAAAATTGGTCAGACAGATTTACTCAGGGATGATCCTGCTTTGAGCAGTGGGCTGGACTAAGTAACCTAAGGGTTGACAATATGTACAGGAGACATAAGAGACAGGAAGGTTAAAAGTACCACATCAGCCAAAAAAAAAGCTGATTGCCAATAGTGTCAATTTTCCTTTTATCGGTGCACCTCTACTGCTACACAATATTTTTGTTCTTTTAAACTGCAGGAGACATAGCTTTGGAGAAGAGTGCAACAGGGCCAGTAACCTCCTCCCCAAATGGTTAACTTGCCTTTTGTGCTAGCTAGGTTTAAGGTATATTTTGCAAGTTTCAGAACTAACTGCAGTTCTGCCTCCCCTTCCAAACTCCCTCACCACAACCAATTGGGTTATTTCTCAACAAACAATGCTTAGAATCCAGAGAACTTTAAACTGTCACTACTGAGTCTATTCTTGGTGAAGAGTAAGACAAAACAGACTATTATACGCTCCAAGATTAATCATTTTCTTGGCTGAAGCATCCTCCTTAGAGAGACATAAAATGGGCTTACAGCAAACAAAGCAGTTCTTGACATGCCCAATTTATAGTCACTCAAAAATTAAAAGCGTCATTCTGACCTTCCAACCAGGATACTGTAAACAAAAGATATGAGGAAAAAAAGAGAAGATGTATTTAATTCTTTCCTATTACAAAAAAGAAACACAACGTAATAGAAGACAGCACCTCTGGATGGATATACAGCAATACTAATATGCAACTGCCATCTTAGCAGGTCCTTAAGAAAATGTGATAATGTTCACATCTTGCAACTACAGTACTTACATAGGATTCAAGCATTTTACAAAGATCATCTACCCTCAATATTAAAATCTACTGCATCTGCAGAAAATTTACTCTGCAACAGGACAGGGATTTGTTGGACAATGACTTCCTTAAGTTCACGCTGACACCAATTATACTAAGTTTCTTCCCGAGAGAGCTTGATCAATAGGCGTATATTTTCTGGAAAGATTCAGACTAAGAATTCAACTGTCCGCAGATTAAATTTCATCTTGTCATATATTTTGTCTGTGTTACATTTTAAACTAACTCAGAAGACATGGTTATCACACCATTACCACCAACTCAAAACAATAAGTGATTCTGTTGGGTAGATGAGATCTTGCACAACCAGATAAAAGTTATATATCCTACAGGTGTAATTATACACATTAAAAGCAGTTACCTACTTAGAAATCAGATTATGATTCTGTCTGCACTAGACTACAGAATCCCAATTTGAAGGTTGTTGCAACTTTTCCTAGCTCATCAAGAAAACTAATATTGCTAAGCTTCAAAACTACCGCTAGTATTTATATCACAACATTTTAAAAAGCCATTTAATAAACTATAATTCTTACCTTGACTATACACATCTCCTGTATTGGGGTTTGTTAGAAATGGCAAGAAATCATCAACATGATTTTGCATATACTTTGCAGTTTGATTTCTCAGGGTTGCAACAGTCCAGGAGTTTTGGCAATCCTTGAGTTGATTTTCAATAGCTCGGTACATGCAGTGGCCATCTGATGGAATCTGCTTAATTGCTAACTGCCTTGCTGCCAATATATGAGAAAGTTTTTGACTTTCAAGATGCCTGGCTCCTGTCAAGTTTTCTATCTCAGCTTCAGCTATCCTTTCTTCTCTTTCCTTCTCCAAAGCAGCCTTCTTCTCCTAAGAGAAAAAGAATAAATGGCATTTGCAAAGATGTGCTATTAAAAACTGTAAAAAGAAATATATTACTCAGGTTTAAAATGTGTCCCAAGTCTTCCTGTAGCTCTTCATTTGCTGTTCAGTTCCATGAAGGTAATATTTCTTAGATTTAGTTGTGCGCCTTACCAACATGACAACGAGAAAACAATCTCCCAATTAGATAGTATATCATATTCACCTTTTAGAAAAGAACAAGCTATGAGTAACGCAATTAAAAAGTTGAATTAGAATTGCCAAAGCTGGCTAAAGTTAGATAAATAAATTCAATAAGCCCATTAGGTCTTACTTCAATCCTGAGGAAACTCTTTGAGAAGATTATCAAGGAGCACGTCTGCGATGGGCCAGCAGCAGGGATGATGCTCAAGGGCAACCAGCACGGTTTTATTAGGGGCAGGTCCTGTCAGACAAACCCGACTGCCTTCTGCGATCAGGTCACAAAATCATTGGACGCAGGTGTCGCGGTGGATGTAGTCTTTCTGGACTTTAGCAAGGCCTATGACACTGTCTCCCACCCCATTCTCATTAAAAAACTAGGTGACTGTGGCATTGATACCTACACAGTCAGATGGATTGCAAGAGCCTTAGGCGGGGGCACGGTGACAGTAGGCAGCTCAGGTGCCTAGGAGGGGATCAGTGGCATGTGGCAGAGGAGGCACAGGATAGAGAACGTGCTCCCACTGCTATGTACCACCAGTCATTGCCCTTCCCTGCCCCCAAGCCATATCTGATTTCTTCGTAGGCTGAACTTGGCCCACAGGCCCTAAGTTGCCAACCCCAGCTCTAAGACATAAGGGCTCCAAGTAGTGAGAATACGCAAAATCAACATCCTCAAATAACTACATGGTTAACACAATACGTAGTGATTCTTATTTCTTCCAGGAAGCTTCTGCTTTTACCACCCTGGCAGATATAGTAAGCACAATATCCCACAGAAAGATAAAATTAAGGAGTTCTAATTAAGTAAGAATTATGAAATTATCCTCTCAAAATGAGTGTGAAGTCAACATGCTATCAAGTGTACTATTTCAAAATATCCACAGAATTCTAGGTGGCAGCCCTGCTGATTTGTAACACAAAAACATCATACAAGAAAGCCACCTGCACACTTTGTTAGCTTTGGTACAGTCCACTGGAAAATTGTTGGCCTAATGAGCTTTACAGGAGAAACTGATGTTGAATGAGGTCAAATTTCAGCCAACACTGTAGTGCAAAAATGCCAGCACTCCTTTAAAGATAACACTGATACTGGATTCATACCCTCCTCTTCTGTGCTTTTGATATTCGAGGTTGCTGAATCTGTTGTTCTGATCCATCAAGCTCCACACTTGCAACACCATCCGCCACAGAATCCATCTAGAAACAAAATATGTTGGAATTGAGTTTAATATTAATGAAAATAGAACATCAAAAAGAAATTATTGAAATATGGTGCACACATGCAGTCTATTCCAGTTACAACCCAGGAGTTTAATGTCTTACACAATTGATTCTGATTCAATTCTAGAACTACATTTATTTACGTGAAGTTTTGTTTGCATCCCTCCCATCACTTTACCATTATTTATCACTTACTAGGTCCTCATCCCTTTTTCTTTACACTTAATCAGGTTAATTCAGTGGTGCTCAACCTCCAGCTCCTGGGGCTATATTGAGACTAAAACCATGTCATCTGGTCCATAGGTCTCCCCAGGGGTCTAGCAATCTCAACAAAATCATAGAATCATAAAAAAAAACCAGAGGTGGAAGGGACGTCAGAAAGTCAACTAGTCCAACCTCCTGCTCAAAGCACAACCATCCCAAATTAGATCATCCCAGCCAAGGTTTTGTCTAGTCCAGTCTTAAAAACCCCCAAGGATAGAGAGTGCACAACCTCTCCGGATAACCTGTTCCAGTGCTTTGCTACCCTGCTAGTGAGAAAGTTCCTCCTAATATCTAACTTTTAAACTTCCCTTGCTGAAACTTGAGACCATTGCTCCTTGTTCTGTCATGTCACCACTGAGAAATGTCTACCTCCATTCTCTTTGGAACCACCCTTTAGGCAGCTGACGGCTGCTATTAAATCCCCTGTCTTCTCTTCTCTAGATTAAATAAGACCAGTTCTCTCAGCCTTTCCTCAAAAGTCATGTGCCCCAGCCCCTTCACCATATTGTTGCCCTCTCTGCTGGACTCTCTCCAGTTTGTCTACATCTTTTCTGTAGTGGAGGGCCCAAAACTGGACACTATACTCGAGATGTGGCCTCACCAGTACTGAATAGAGGGGAATAATCACTTTCCTTGATTTAATGGCAATACAGCCATTACTGGCCAATGTAGCCCAGTATGCTGTTAGCCTTCTTGGCAACAAAGGCACACTGTTGGCTTATATTCAACTTAGTGTCCACTGTAACTACCAGGTCCTTTTCTGCAGACCTGCTACCCAGCCAGTCAGCCACCAGCCTGTACAGGTGCATGGGATTCTTCCATCCTATGTGTCCTTGTTAAGCCTCATGAGATTCCTTTGGTCTTAGGCAATTCCCAATCATTAATTGGATGATTAACCCACAAACTGGGTTAATCAAATCATGACTTTTCCATTCAAGGGTAGTTCTCTCAGCCAGTCTGCAGCATCAGATCCTGAGACTGCAAGCTCTTCGGTGTAAAGACCTTATTCTTTTCACTTTACTATAAATAGGCAGATGCTTTAGTAGTTCTTTATAATTCACAGAAAATTGCTTAGTTTTAGATAATTAATGTGAAATATGTGACCAGGAAACTATATCCAAACAGCATCTGGTGCTATATTTCTGCTGATGATATAATTCTTTTAATAGCAGAAAGTGATGTAACATATGCCTAAGGGGCACAGTAGTGAAAATCTGGTAAAACTGAGTAAAGGATTTATTGTCACCCCAATAATGAAAGGTACAAAAAACAGGTTTTGTGCCCTAAATCTAGTATTTTATTAATAAATTAATTCTCAGCTACATAATGTCAGGTTACTGAAATTAAAACTTGCCCCTAAAAGGTTCCAAGCAAGGTTTAACATGACTTATACCTTATTCTTCTCAGGTAAATTCTCCTTCAGCTGCTCTAGTTCTTCCTTATGTTTCTGTTCCAGTTCTGCCTCCAGTTTGGCAACATCATCAGCCAGCTGTTTTCTCCTTTTTTTATCATTCTTGGGAACAGCATTTTTCATACTTTGAATCTTGGCTGTTGGAAAAGTAATGAGACAAGTATTAGACTCTAAAAACAGAATATGCTAAAATCACCTATAAATATGAGGGGGGGGGGGGGGGACAACATTATTTGTTGCTCCTCTGCTGCTAAATTTCCAGACCCCTGGGGAGCCCCAGGGGCCAGATAATGTGGGCCTGCATGGCCAGATCCAGACATAAGGGGTTGGGCCAGCTCACAGCCAGATCTAGGCATGCAGGGTTGGGTTGATGTGCTGGACTGCACCCATGGACTGACCCCTGATACAGGATCTGGCTCCCCAAACCATCCCCATACCACTCATTCAGCCCACAGAACCAGAAGTTTACTGGGTAGAACCAGCTGTACTGGCCCAGAACAAAATATCACATTACTTTAACCTCTAAGCTTCAGAGATAACTCAATATAAAAGTTATACAAATGGTCCTATGCTTTGCAGTGACCTGAATGAAAAAACAAAACTTCAAACAGATCTTAGAGTTTTAAAAGCTAGATGTGAACTCTACAGCTTGAGTGACTCTCACAAATATAGAAAGAGACATAATCACCCAATTTGCTTTTCAGTCTGCCATATTTAAACCACCACCTACTATAGCTATAGAGTAGGGATGGCCAATTATTTCAACTGGAAAACTACTTAATGAGTTTTGGTGAGCTATCAAGGGCCACACACATAAAATCTTTCAGATGTTTCTTTATATATAACTTGTTAAAACGATGAGTCATATACTACATATCAACCATCTGCTAAACCATATTTTAATTTTATTTCCAAAAATATTTTTCATCTGGATTTATGTTTTTCTGAGTAGTGAATATAGATGTGACTGCATAATAGCTCAAAATAAAGTCTTATTCTTTTGTATTGTGAAGTGGGGTATGACGGTTGAAGGTGTGTGTGGGAGGAGGGTAGGAGGGGGTGGGCATGTGGTGTGTGTCGGGGGGTCCATGCATGTGTGTAGGGGGATGGGACATGCATGTAAGGGGTGCCCACACGTTAGGTCCTGGGAGCTGACCAGGGGTGGGGACAGGGAGAGAAAAAGGGCATGTGCAGCAGGGTTCACCCAGGTGCTGAAGTACAGATGCAAATGCAGATGCGGTCTGCCCCCTCCACCCACCCACCTGCCCTGCAGCTGCTCCACATGGGGCTGAGCCTTGTCTGCTCCCATCCAGGGTAGCCCGCACCCGCCAGACAGCACTGCCTCAGACTTGGCATAAAGCTTCCTGGTGGGCCTGTTGCTGGAGCCACCCAGGTACTGCTCAGCTCCTCCTGCCTCCAGCAGCTCCTCCTTTTCCTGCCCCTGTTAAACTGCTCCAGGCAGAAGGTGCCCATCCAGGCAAGGGGGGAGCTGCAGCCAGGCAGCTCCTACTCCAGCATGCAGGGCTCCAGCTCCTAGCCACTTTCACCCCATTCTGCCCACCTGGTGCAAAAAGTAGCCACCTGTGAGAGGCTGAGTAGGTGAAAGATGGCTGGGAGCTGGAGCTTCAGCTGGAGCCCCTGTGCACTGGCCCAGGATCCACACACCTGCAGCTCCCCACCACCTGGATGGGTTCATGGTGTCTGCACATGTCCCCGTGGCCACCGTCACTTCCTCAAGTTAGTTGCTGCCTGGAGCAGTTCAACAGGGACGGGAGGAAGAAAAAGAGCTACTGATGGCAGGGGGAGCTGAGCAGTACCTAGGCAGTTGCAGGTGTACTGGGGTCGGCCCCACCACGAAGCCATGCACACTGGCCAGGGATGTCAGCAGGCACAGGCAGCAGTGCAGCATAGGCTTCCCTGGGCAGGAGCGGGCAGGGCTCAGCCCCTTATGGAGAACCGCAGGGGCAGCCATGAGCTAGAAATCAATTGGTGGGTGTCCGCCTGCAAGCCAGATCCAATCAGTTGGTGGGCTAGATCCACCCTGCGGACTGTATTTTGCACACCACTGCTATAGAGGACTTTTTTCCTTGAAGAGTACCAACCTGTCCATTTGCCATTAGGGCAAACACACTCTTTGGTTCGTGTGAATCCCAGTTGCACAGTCTCAGGGGAAATCAAAAATAGTTTCAAGCAAAGTATTTTAGAACCCTACATTACTGCAAACCTACCTTTTAACTTGACAAACCTAAACGATATTAAAGATGAAGCACTAGATGTTTCTGACTGGGCATTAGAACTTTTTTGGAAGTCCCTTTACATTAGATTATTACCTTATATTATTTTTTTAACTAACAACATGGAGATAAGCAGAAACACTCCTGTTAAGGCCACATTACAGCTGGGAAGTTTTGGGGGAAAAATAGAAAATAAAAACACGTCAGGGTCACAGCCCCACAGTGACAACATGAGAATGGGAAAGGTGAGAGACCAAAGTTTGCGGCACATGAACTGAATCTGAGAGGCAGAAGGCATGGGAGAGACTACTTTATAGGCACCCTACAGAAAGGCAGTCAGCTGGGTTAGTCTGAAGTGGAGCAGAAGGCAGGGCACAGCTGCACACTTAGCGCCCCTCTACCCCATAGAATGTAAATTAGGGGTATGCCGATAAAGATTTTCTTGGCCAATACTGATGGCTGATTATTAACCAGCCATATGAGTCAATACTGATCTGATTGCCAATATGCAGCCCAGCAGCTTAGAAAGGAGCATCCGGAAGGTAAGGGGCAGGGGGGAAGAGAAGGGGCATAGGAGGGGTGGATTGAGGCCCCCATGGTGAGGGAGGTAGTGGGGCAGGGGCAGAGGCAGGCACTGCTCAGCCGAAGCAGAATGGGGGATAGACCCGCAGGCAGCTTGTC